TACATTCAAGTGTGGAGGGAGGAAGGCAGTGCGTCCTGTGGCTCAAGGACTTAAGCTGTGGGGCTCGATCACTCCCTTGGCGTTCAATTCCCAGTCTGCCCTTTCCCTAGGAGTGTAACTACTTAATTTCTCTGACTCCACGTTCTCATCTGTAAATGTAAATTATTATACTTACCTTACAGAAACATTGCATCCAATACTATCAGAGAATGTGAAAACACCTGGAGTAGTGCCTGCTGTGTGGAGCCATTTCAACAAGTGGTGGTGGCATTAATGATAGAGGGGAAGAACTGGAGGGTGGAGCCCCGACCGGGAGAGTCTGCGGGGTCATAGGGAAGTCAGTGCTTTCCTGGATCTGGGATTAGAAATCTCCATGGACCTGTCCCTGACTCCAGCCCGGTGGTAACTGTTTCCCTGCTTCACACCCCGGGGGTTTGGATGTCATGCTAGTTGAGGATTTACAATGAAAAACAAACCACTGACAATACCAAGTGGCGGACTTGGCCGGCTTTGCCTGTTCTGGTCCTTTAAGTCAAACACTCCTACCCAACTCCTGGCATCAGTTAGCCCATAAAAAAGGAACTGTAAACACCCAGGGCCGCCCCACTTCCTTCCTAGGAAAGATTTCGTTTACACCTTATCTCTGCCCAGTTCTAAACTCTCCCCTAAGACCCTCATCTTGACTCTGCTCTGGCCCTTTGAACTTGTGCTGGCTCCTCCAGCTGGTGGACCTCAGTGTTCCCTACAACACCCTAGCTTAACAGCCTTTTCTACTTCTTGAAGCTGTTTCTGACTTCAGCAACTTGATCAATACCCTTGCTGGGCTGGTCTCCTCCTTTCCCTGTAAGACAGAAAGGTATTCAGGCAGAAAGTGTAACAGGAGTTTGGAGGAAGGGGAGGTCTGCATGGAGTTTTTGAGGAGGAGTGGGGTCTGATCCTCCGCATCAGAGTAGGGACAGGAGAGCCTTTTTTGGTTTTATGGCTCAGAGCAAGGATTGGCAAATGATGGGTCGAAAGCCAGATCCAGCCTGCTGTTTCAGTAAATAAAGTGTTGTTGGAAGGCAGATAAAAGCAGCCAGTTATGTGTTGTCTCTGAACACTTCTTGTGCTACAACAGCATAAGTGAGTAGCTGTGACAGAGGTTAACTACCTTCAAAGTCTAAAACAGTTACATTTGGTCTTTGTTAAAAAACAAAATTCAACTGAGTAAATTTTAAAGACCTCCTTGGCTTTATTCAGCAATTTACGAATCGGAAAGCATCTTACCCAGAAGATAGAAAGGAGCTCTGAGGAACTGTAGAAAAAGACCAACTTTTATAGGCAGAAAGGAGAGGGACAGGTAAGTCATAGCAGCAAAAAGTGAATTGGCTGTGGCAAGGTCACTTTCCTTAGGGGACAGCAGGGTCCGGCACGCAGATTGCCTCATTACCGCTGACCAGAGGAGTTCTGATTGACTGGTTCAAGTTTCCATTTCTGGGAGAGGCTGAAACTAACATTAAGTCTCTTTTTGGTGATGTGAGGGGCTTAGCGTAAGTGATTCCATTTTGGGCCTGTTGTTTTGTTTTTGACATGCTTGAATTTTTTTTTTTTTTTTAGAATGTTGAGAGCAACTTTATTTATAATAACCAGAAACTGGAAACAATACAAATGTCCATGAATAAGTGAATAGATAGTTCAACTGAGATATATGAATACAATTATTCTTCAGCAATAAAAAGGAATAAGACTACTAGTATGCACAACTACATGGATGAATGTCAAAAACATGTTGCACAAAAGAAGTCAGACACAGAAAGGCATGGCGATAGAAATCTGATCAGCAGGGGAAGGAGGAGGGTTGCTTGTCATTGACTGCCAAGGAGACTGGGGGTAAGGAAAGTGTTATTTATTTATGTATTTATTTATATTGAATTGATTGGAGTGGTATCAGTTAATAAAATTACACAGGTTTCAGGTGTACAATTCTATAATACATTATCTGTATATTGTATTTTGTGTTCACGATGCCAAGTCAAGTCTCCTTCCAACACCATTTATTCCCCCTTTATCATCTTCTACCTCTTATCACCGCTCTATACCTCTGGTAATAGCCATAGTAGTGTCTGTATCTATGTTTTTTTTTCTTTTTTTTCTCTTTTGTCGCTTAATCCCTTCACATTTTTCACCTAGCTCCCTAAGCTGTCCCCTCGGAAAGCTGTACAAAAAATTTTATAGATCCCTGTTTTAGTTCATCAAGCTTACCCCCAAAAAGAGTGATCTGAGGAACCCAGTCCTATACAATTGTGTTACCATAATGCAATGGTCCCAAATGCTGGGGAAACAGACATAACGTCTCTACCTCCTGGGGCTATTCACAATGCACCTCAATGTATTAAAAGCTCTAAAAATTCCTATGCAGAAGAACTTGTGGTTTAATCATTTGCCAAACTCCTTTGATCTACCAAAACCTACTTTTCCTTAGAATACCTGTTAACAATCCTGAGAAGCTAGCATTCTGTGGATTTCCCGGTATGCATGCACTTAATTGGGTAAAATGATCTTACATAGCCTGGTTCTTGGCCCACCTGTGCCTCTAAGGTGCAGAGTGACCTTGACTGAACTGTATATCCCTCAGTGCCTGCTTCCTCATGGGTTGAGTGGGATAATGTTGCCTGTTCTGCTCTCTCTTACAGGTTTTTCAATGCAGGCCACTGAGATCACGTGCGTGAAAATGGCCTGGAGCAAGATAGCTTGGTGTAACTGGGTTTTTTTATTAGTTTTGCTTTGATGCATGGCTGTAATGGTGATGTGGAGAAAGCATTATATCAAGGTCCTGAGTTCCCTTTTTCTAGTCCTCACTTTGTTATTACTAACTGGTTTGACTGAGTGACTTTAAATAAATTACTTCCCCCATACGGCCTCAGTTACCTCCCATTAGTCTGAGGGTTTAAGAGTGGTTAATCTTTAAGTATCTGTTAGTTCTGAAGTTGTATGATTCCTTTTGGTTAGATGTATACAACTTTCCTACTTATCCAAAAGCAATGGGTCTCTTTCTCACAAACCACGAAGACAGCATCTCCCTGGTTTTCTTGGGAAAGTATCTGGGTTCAGTGCCAGCTATGAAGAGGCATTGATAAAGGGTTTCTGGTGCTGCTGACAGTTTAGGAGGCAGGACAGGCTTCTGGGAATGTCTACCCAACAATTCTCGGCTCAATATCAGACTCTTTCTTTCCCTTCTCTTCCATTGCTCAAAGCCTTCTCTGTCCAGACATTAAGTTCAGGCAGCTGGTTAATAGATTTGGCAAAATAAAAAAGCAGAAGTAACTCCCGAAAGGTCAGTGGGACCAAGGGTGGAGCGAAAGTCCCCTGACAGGGGGTGAAGTGGTTATAAAGCAGAATCTACATAAAATTCCCTTTGGCCAACTTCTCTCTTATCCCCTCACCAACGACTGCCTGGCTCCATCTACATCTTTGCTATTGTCATTGTAAGGAGCGCCCAAACCTGTAAGAACTTTTAATAAGTTTATTTGAGCCAAACTGACAACAATTGTTGGGAAGCAAAACCTCAATGAATGGAGGAAATGTGCCAGAAAATGTCAGTTCTGCATCCTGCTTTATATATTACAATCAAAAGAGAGGGAGTAAGTGGGCTACATGAAACCCATTTGTTATAGATTAGGGAGGTGGGAGAAAGCAAAGTGGAAAAACTTCTAGAATTGGATAAAAAAATGATAGGCACATACTTCTTTTACATAGGTGGGTAAATGAGAGTTAATAGTCAACAATTAACTCAATAACAATGAGGGGATTTGTTGTCTATGCTTTGGTGCTCTGGTGAGGTATCTGTGTTTTGAGGGGTCTGGAAAAAAGGAAATTACTTTGACATTCTAAAAGTATGTTATTGTAGATGCAAAAAGACAATAGACACCTTCATTAAGGTAAAGATTGACTTTTGTCGGGGAAGATTCTAGCCTAAGACATGACTACCTGCCATAGACTGCTTTTAGTTAATGAGATTTAATTTCAGACCATGCTTTGTGGTGACTTTAGTTTTCTGAGTTAATAAGGCTGCTACCCAGGCCTCCCCTGAGCTTGTCAGTTTCAGTTAATATGAGGCCTCTTTTCATCTACAGTATCAAAGGTTTATAAGCAGTTGAATAAGAGAAGCCTTGTAAAGAAGGCAAGGATCTACTGAAAAAATGCCCCCCCGCTTCCATGAATATAAGAAAATCCCAGAAAACCTAGACTGGGTCAAAAGGTCTACAGCGTGATATGTACGGTACGGGGCCAAATGGGGAGGAGTGATTTGATGACTGGGTATCCTTTTGGTCTCTATGGAAAACGACCTGCCTATGTGAAGTGAGTCATCCAGGGGACTCCCGAGTGAAGGGAGAACCAATGTGTCTGTGTGAGCAGGGTTCTCAGAGGCAGCCGAGCTCTTGCCCTTCTAGTCAGCCTTTCGGCCACAAATATTTACAGGGGGTTCTACTGGATGGGACGTTCTCTGGGGACACAGTGAGATAAAACACAGTTACTGCCCTAAGGAGCTTAGAATCCACTTGAGGAGGCAAGACCAGTATACATGGTTGTAATTCACTGCATGCAGCAGGCTGAATGCTAACAGATGTCAGAAAAGGGGGCAACTGGCACAGGCTAGAAGTGATGGTTGAAAACCTGTAATTCCTCACACTGATTGGGAACCTCCTACATTTTCAAACCTCCAGGAATGGAAATTTCACATTTTTCCCAGTTGACCTCCATCAGTGTTTAATAAATCCTTCCTTGAAGCCTTCTTTGAGTCATAGTGCCATCTTTGACTGTGGCAAACTCTTGACCTTGGTAAGTCCAAGGATATTCAGACTCTGCTTCCTCAAACGGAGCCCCAGCTCCATTAGCTTCCTTTTGTTCTGGGAGAGAAACATTGAGAAGGGGTCATGGTGTTTGGTCCTGGTTCTCCTTCCATGGTGACCGAGCAGCTTACCTTTTCATTCCTCAGGGCCCAGTGTCCCTCTCCGGGACAGTCATGTGGCATGGGCAGGAGGACTGTCAATCTGGAATACCTTCCTTTCCACATGGGGCAGCTCGTCTGGCTGGAGGCTCAGCTCCAGGAAATGTGTTATCTGAATCAAGGTGACTCCTGCTGCCTCTTCCGTCTCTTGATCTGCACATACAAAGCACACTATGAGGGTACTAGGCGCTGAATTTAACTCCCTGAGAACCACCCCCACCCACCACAAGCCTTCAAGAACTTCCTGAGCCCTTAGATTGACAGGGGCTGGGTCTGAAAATCTTAGCTTCCTCCACTTGCTCCCAGAAAATCTCATCCTTTCTTCACCAGATTCAAGCACCATGGAGTCTAAAATCATTTTAGGAGTATTTAAACCTGAGGACGTTCTTGTAAGAGACTTTTAGCTGAGTCATGCGGAGGCGCAAACGTAGTTTGGTCCTGTTCTGGGCCCCGCATTCCTGCTCTCTGCTTCTGGGGCTGCTTGTGTGGTTCACATGCCTATGGTTAGCACAGGTGTCGCCATCTTCAGAAGAGCTTTTCCTTAAGCTCTGAGATGCCACCGAGACATAAATTCAAAGAAGATTTTCCCATTTTGATAAAGGAATCAAGGCCAAGAATGGTTAAATGGCTCAGACTAGAATTTAGCACTTCCATTGTACATCCAGAAGTCCTGGCACAGACTCTGAACCCACCCAGTCCTGAGGGCATCGGATGGAAGCTAAGCCCCCATCCTCTCCCAGCCTGGGGGCTACTTAAACTCAACTCACAAGCGCTTTTTCTCCGCAGTTTCCTTTGCAGTAGGACAAGAGCCCCAAGCATGAGCGGGAACAGCACCGTAGAGACAGGAGTCAGGATCCGAGAGATGTTCTTCTCTTCTCGACAAGCACTGGAGTGCAAGTAGCAGGGTTGGGGAGAGCCCCAGAGAGGGGTGGTTGGAACTGAACAACAGGCTGTAGACCATTGGCCCTTGCCCCTCATCTTACAGGTGAGAAGCTAGGCCAAGGTGAGTTGGCTGCCCTCATTCCCATGGTAGGTTAGTAGCAGAGCTGGGACTAGAAGTCCTGTCTTAAGGTTCCTGAGCCCTGACTCCAGGTTCCTGAGCCCTAACTCCCATTCCCAGCTCCCCTGCCTATGTGTGGGCTCTACTACTGAACTATAGTGGAAAAGAGGATTGGGTGAGAGTTAGGGAACCTATCCTTGTAATTTGGCTCTGCCATGATCTTTCCTTGTGGCTTCAGTGAGTCACCTCCCTTTTCTGGAGCTTTCACTCATCTTTTAAAAAAAGTCTCCATTATAGATTTTTGCTGAAAGCCACATGAAGTACTCAGATTCTCCTAGCATGGACTTCGAATGAGGGAGGGTAGCTGGTTTTATTCCCTTGCCCTCTTCTGTCTGATGGTTACAAAGGGAGAGAAGTGAGTAAATGGAGAGGGGCACGAGGCCAGCTCATGGAGGGAAGGGGAAAGGGCACTGTGGGTCCCCAGCAGACAGGGAGTCTGGAGGTTTACCTCTTCATGGAGGACCCCTTGCCAGGGGGAATTTGGGGTCCTTCTCCCAGGTCCTGGCTTGGTGTTATTTGGTGACCATTGTCTCCAGCAGGGAGGTCTAGCTCCCCTTCAGTGCTTCCCTCAGTAGATGACATCTCTGTGTTCGTGGGCCCCCAGGTCCAACCTGCAGCAGGAGTAGTTCCTTCAATGGAGTCCAGGGCTTGTGGCTTAGAAACCAGTCTTGCTTCTTGGAGGGTTTCCCACGCCCATTTTTCTGAGGCCAGGGTTGATGACCTAATGGTCCCTATGGCCGTCCAGTCTGCATTTAGGGTTATTCTGACCCTTTCTGCTTCCTCTCTTGGTATATCGGCCTCAGTCATTGTCTCGCTCCCTTCCTCACTGGCCCTAGCTCGGGTTGCTCCAGAGCTTCTGGTACCCCGCAGCCAAGGGCCTTCTGTTGCATCCGCCATAATTCTGATTGTTGCAGCTGAACTCCCTGGAATAGGGATGGTTGCATAGATGGAAAACTCTACCTGGCTAACTGTCCCTGTAGCTACTACCTCAGGGGTTCTCAGGGTTTGCATTTCTTTAGCTGATGTCGTTCTTTTGCTGGTTCCTGGAGTCAGAGCAACTCTGTTGCATCTTCTGCCCCGCCTTCCTATAGCCTGGGTATTTCCTGGGGTCCATCTGTTGGCTGCTGTAGAGGCTGCTCCAAAGGATCCCCTGACGAGCTCACTAGCAGCTGGAGTGGTTCTGGGGATAGGGCTGAGAGGACCTGTGTGAACATCAGAGGGAAACGTGGGAAGGCTAGCCCATGGCCTGCAGGGTTTAGCAAAGGAAGCCAGGCTGAAAGTGTCTGCTACACAGAATACAATCTCATTAAGTTATACAGTCTTTGGCCAATATGTGGGATAAAATAACAATTTGGGGAAACCAGATGTATTCTCTAGTCTATTGCAAATACTGACATTTTATGGTCCTATCTTACTTTCTAGGTCCACATATTCTCTATCCAAGCTATCCAGGGCCCTTTCCCAGGTGCCCACAGCCCAGTATGTACTGTCGTCAAGTAAGAAAAAAAAGAAGCCCAGTCATAGTAGAACGGCCAGTCACAGCAGGTGCTTAGATAGCAGGCGGCATCTGAGGAAACAAGCCCCCTGGCCTGTCACAGCCTCCCTCAGCCTCGGGGCGCCTGACTCCGGACCAGCTCTCCGGAACCTGCCACACAGGGCCTGGGCCTGGTAGCTGTCGGGTGTCTGCTGAGGGGTTTGGTCTTGGGAAGAGCCCCGTCCCAGTTCTTCTGTCCTGCCTGTCTTACCTCCTCTGCTTGCCTGAACACAGGCACAACGACCATAAGCAGCCACATCATCCAATTCACTACATTCTTGGAACTCTCTCTGAATGTATATGCCACACATTTGGGGGTTAAACAGGTGGGATAGCTGACGTGCATTCAGTTGGGACATTTTCCCTAATATCTGCCTTTCTTCTGAAGGAGGTTTCCTTAGAAATGAAAGCCTTCCTCAAGTCCTTGCCTTGCCCCAGCTTTTCCTCATCACACCCCTCATGGGTAAAGCCCTCTTGGACCTCCTTGTTCCAATTTCCTGGCATTCACTTCACCAACCTTGACTCACCGGGCGTCGGCCCGTACCTGCAGAGATGATCAGCTTCATGCCGAAGAACCGCATGTGGTTACTGTTTCCGATGCCACAGCGGTAGGACCCCACATCGTCCGGAGACAGCTGGGACAGACTCACCACAAACAAGCCTCCTTGCGGGAAGTCTCTTAGAGCCACACGGCCACCATAGCAAAAGTGAGTGTAGTGGTTGGTGGACACAACGGTGTGGCAGAGCCCCGTCAGGGGGTTTAGACGGCACCAGTACTTCCTCTGGTGCCTGTTGCTGGGAGAGAGGGTATAGTGGCACTGGATGGTGACAGTGCCCCCAGGCTTCCCAGACACCAGCCTTGGGCCCTTCAACGCATTTGCAGCTGCAGGCAGAGAAAAAAAAAAAGTCTAAGGAGAGGGATCGTCGAGTACAGTCACTGTGTGAGGAGTTAACAAGCTCCACACTCTGTCAGAATTAGGGGGCAGGTGAGAAAATGTCTCCTTAAAAGCGAGGCAAGAAAAAATCTATATAGAAATGTGAGAACTTAGTCCCAGGGTGTGGAATAGGCTCAAGATATAAAATGAAACTATACCTAAGGCCCCATCTAAGAGATAGGCATGCAAAAATCACCTTAGCCACAATTTGGTTAACATATCATGTGCCCAATGTTCTCATACAAGTCCATCCAGAGCCTGGGTTCCTTTTACTGTGCTTCAATGCAAATGTTTAAAAAGCTGCCATCTAGCCCTGGCTAATGGGGCTCAGTGGATTGAGTGCTGACCTGCGAACTGAAAGGTTGCTAGTTCGATTCCCAGTCAGGCACATGCCTGGGTTGTGGGCCAGGTCCTCAGTTGGGGACATGCAAAAGGCAACTGATCGATGTATCTCTTGCACATTGATGTTTCTCTCCCTCTCTTTCTCCCTCCCTTCACCTCTCTCTAAAAATAAATAAATTTAAAAAATAAATAAAAAAATAAAAAGCTGCCATCTAAACACATGTAAGAGGGCTGAGGTAACATCTGGTAGAAGGCTGTGGCTTAGATGCATGAAATGTAAAAGAGAGGTGTTAAATAGTAAGAACAGATCAACATATTTTCTGCTGGGAGTGAGGGGTGAAACAAGAATCCTGGTTTGCCTGATGGGTATATCCACAGACCAGTGGTTGCAAAAATGTTCACAGTGGCCATCTTTTTGTAGAAGTGGGCACAGCCGAGGACCACTGTCAAAGCCCAGATAAGCATGCAAAAATCACCTTAGCCACAATTTGGTTAACATATCATGTGCCCAATGTTCTCATACAAGTCCATCCAGAGCCTGGGTTCCTTTTACTGTGCTTCAAGCGCCGGCTAATGGGGCAGTGGATGATGCTACCTGCGAACTGAAAGGTTGTTTGGGTGGGCCTAGTTGGGGAATGCGATGGTATCATCGTTTATGACTACATCTGCTTTGGCAATAGGCATAAACCACAGTTGAACCACAGTATGTGGCCTGTTTGCTGAGTGACTTAATTTTGATTGGTACAAGCAGCAGTAAAGTTAATTCTTCCTCTTACTGCCTCTTCACACTCCATCTGTGCACTTCTGCTCCTTGATAGAAACGTCAGGCATACTTTCATAGCTGCATCTGGATAAGGAAAAGTCTAGACTGGTTGCATATATAAAATTATGTAACTAGTCCAGTCCAATGACTGTATCTCCAATCTCTTACCCAATTGAAGCTTTTTCCTTTTGCTCAGCATGTTTGGAGGCCTGTGTAGAGGAAAGGGGCGTGCTGGGGTCTCTTGTTTAGCTCTACCCCTTCCTCTACCCCAAACTGCTGTTTTAGGCCCCTCTGGGATTGGGTACGGAGGAGAGAGAAGAGGTGAGAGGTACACAGGTGATCTGCTCTTGGTGCCCCGTGGGCATGGCAGAAGGCCTGAGCTGCTTCCTTGTCTGTTGCCTCTCAGGCCTATCTATGGCCTCTGGCAGCAGTTCCCTCCTTGGAATAACTGGCTCTCCTCCTGCTGGCTTCATGTGACTCCCTCACCACCAAGCCATCTGTTGTATTATATGGTCACAATCCCCTCTGGGTGGCCCTCTTGGTGGGGGCCCAAGCCAGGTCCTTTCTGTAGGTCCCACATTTGGTCACAGGAAGCATACCTCTGCCCTGGATCTATAGCAATCTTGTTCAGTGGCTTTCTAGAGGTTCCTTCTTACTTGGCTTAAAGTGGCTCATGCAGTGAGCTCTTCTGCCCTCGGATAGCTACATGGTGGGCTATTATAGGAACGGCCAGCTTTGCAATCTTTCTCCATAGTCCTGCATGGTGGTTCAACATCCAGCAGTTTGTTCTATGTCTTTAGTGACTCTGAACCCAAGAAAGGTCAGTTTAATATCCTGTTGACAGGACTGGTTATATAATTTGTAGGGCCCAGTGAAAAATAAAAATGCAAGATCCCTTGTTCAGAAATTTCAGGGCCCCATGTGAGTGCACAGGACGCATGCCCATGACGCTGGCCCTGTCTGTTGCATGTCTGGAGGTCTAATGACAGGAAGAGTCAAGGCTGTAAATGCTATGGATGTGTCAATGGTCAGTGCACGTTCAACTAAATGACATGCCAGCAACTATCAACTATGCAATTATTAATAAAATTAAATGGCAATTTATCATTAAAAGGCAATAATAGTCACAATTACAAATAAAGGCTATTTTAGGACAATAGTGATAATGTCCTGATAAAGTGTTCCCACCCCCGATCTCAGGAACTCTGGCGATTGACACAGGACCCATGGGAGAGGAGCTCTGCCCCGCTGAGCATCAGGATGGGGGCGGCCCGACTTCCCAGTAGAAGGCTGATTAATCATCTTGGCAATGTACATTTTTTTCTTTTGTTAATACCAAATTTTTCTGACCCTTAACACATGGTGGATTACTGATCAGCAGCTCTTAGTTATATGTAATTACGGTATTTGAAATTAGTTATCTGTGAGAATTAAAGAAAGGGCGAGCATTTTAGGATCAGTGGGGTGCCCACATGCGGTAGCCCTGCTCTCCTTCGTCCACCATTTCCCAGCCGTTGTCCATTGCTCTGGCTTCTACCAGGGAGGGCAAGCAAGGCTGCAGTGGAGGGAGGCCACGGACTGAGCCTGCCCGGGCCTGAGGAGATGCAAGAGGTCTGCAGGGTTGTACCTGCAGTGGCTCTCCCTGACTACGAACAAAGGGGTGAGAAGGGTCTGAGTGTTTTCTTGGCCCAGAGGTGCAGCCTGGAGGGAAGAAAGCCAGCCACAGCCACCTAAGAGGGGGTCAGAGCAGAACCTGGGCGCAGGGAGGAGATGGGCCATCAGGGGCCATGTGAGTTTCCACAGGCACACCTACAAGGGGAAGAGCCAGCTTCAACCCCCTGCCTGGCCAGAGAGCTCCAGGCCATCCCTAGAGCTGCCTGACTTCTGCCTCTCCTTCCTCCTGCCACTGTGTCCCTGCCAGGGATCCAAGACTCAGCTGCCAAGATGAGGGAGAAAGAGGAGGGGAAGAGAGAAGGTGGCCACCACAGCCCCTTTCCTGTCTTCCTGACTGCAGGCCTTGGGTGCGTGAGGGGGCCTGTCTTTGACTGAAGATTAAAGTGCTGACCAAAATATTTAGCTGGACATTTAAAATTATTAGGTTGAGCATGCTGGAAACTTAAAGGCATTGAGTTAGGACTATTGTCTACATGTCAGCAGAAAAATAATGGGCTGCCTGAGTTTTCATTTGGGAACATGAAGAGTCTGTTCCTACTGAAAAATATTAAAGGGAGTAATGAGAGATGAAAATAAAGAGATGGTGTGATTTATTAGAGAATTCTCGCTCAAATATTAGTTATTTTTGACTCATTATAACTCTGATTTGTTTATAAGCCTGAAACAGTTTTTAATCTTTTTTTGGTACTAGTGTAGCATTTTTATACATTCACTCATTCGACAATTATTTGCAAACAAATTTGTTAAGTGTCTACTTGGAACTAGGTTCTAGGTACTAGACACTCTAGACATATACTTGCTACATTCCTTAATGGCTTCCCATTACCATCAAAATAAAATCCAGACTCCAGAGCATGACAGTAGGGCCATTTATCATCTGAGCCTGATATATACCTGGCCGGCCACACCTCACCATCCTGCCAGGAGCTTTAGGGCAGGGACCCTGTCTTTCATCCATCCGTCCCTAGTGCCTGGCACAGGATAGGTTCTCCATAAATGTATGTTGACTAAATAAGTATATGCATAGATACAACTTTTATTTATCCATCCAGTTGCTTTAGAGACTCTGAACACTTTTAGAGTAGAACAGGATCTTCATCTCTATGTCCCTTGTACTTGTGGGCCTGGCACTTGATTTTAGAGTAAGTGGTCATGGAGCATGCTAGTCTCTTGCACGCCCTGGAACCTTGATCTTGCCAATGCAGCCAACGCTCAGTCATTAACTTGAATGGAAGAGAACAGAGAATAGGGAACATTAAAATTGAATATTCTGGAAATCATCGAATCAGACATGTGCCTTCTCCTGTGAGCTCTTGGTTCCCTTATTGCCTCTCGGCTCAGACCTGGCCACTCCCTTGGACCCGCTGCATGGCCTTGGCTCCCAGGAGAGAAAGCCATGGCTGTGCCCAAACTGCTGAGGGCATGCTGAATGCCACCAAGGGGCCCTCCAGGAGTCTCTGCAGCCTGGAAGGCTCGGGTCTGGTTTTGCAAGCGCTGCATCTGAGCTGTTTGGGTCTCACCTTGCAGCAGGCACAGTAGGAGGATGATGCTCATTTCCCATCCTGCCCTCTGGTTGGTGACCTGCAAAAACAAAACAAAACAAAACAAAACAAAGCAAAGCAAAAACCACTAAAAATGGAGAGGCCTGAGGGAAGCAAGTGAGAAAGCTGGGGTGAGCCGCAGCGGGGCCTGGGGCAAGCACCTTCTCGCCTGGAGGGCCGGGGCTGCTCAGCGCTGGGGCTGGATGGGCCATCACTACGAGAGGGGCCGGTCCCCATCTCCATGCTCCCACGCACACGCGTCCGGCCTGGGTGGCTGCCACCGAGGCTAACCTTCCCCGACCTCGGCGGTCTCTGTGTTTCGGAGAGGCGAAGGGCCCTCTGTGGGATTCCAGCCCCAGCTCACACTTGCCGGCGTGGAGCCCGGGGTTTGGGGAGCATTGTGTAGTGGAAAGACTACCTGCTGGAAGTTTAAACCTCAGGTGGAACCTTGGAAAGGTTACTCTGTGTCAGGGATTAGTTTCCTGTTCAGGGACAGGGTCTCTCTGGGGTTGTTACATAACACCAATGAGATTTTTGTTAGCAGTGCTGACAGTATGTCTGGGAGAATGCAGCTCCTCTCCTTCTCTCCTCGCTCCTCCTTTTTTTTTTTTTTTTTTTTTTGGAGGAGAACAGATTCCTTCAGGGAAAATTTCTATTTCACTGCTAGTGTGCATCCAGCCATAACAGAGAGTTAAAAATTCTCTCAGTCCAAGCTGTTGTCTGTGCGAGGGTCCTATTCTGTTTCTTCTCCACAGCTTCTGGAGAGCCCTCCCTGTGCCCCGGTTCACACTCTCTTCCCCCTTCCCCGGTGCCTCCCACCGGCCTGGGGAGCTCCTTGAAGACCTTCTCCTCTGCAAACCTCCAGGCGCTGAAGCAGGATCCAGAACGGTGTAGGTGGACCATGTGTGACAGTTGTGAACGAGACCAGACCCCTCTGATTAGAACGACAGAGAGTGTACATTATACTTCTTCTCAATTCCCCACAGGATTTTCATGGGTGCTTTTTGGTTGATTAAAAATCTGTTCTTTGAATCTACCTACTGTCAGCAGTTCCTGGGATCTACAGATAAAAAATAAGGCAAACTAAAGGGCCATTGTTTTCTCCTTCCTGCTCTAACACATACTCCACTAATGTTAAGAGCAGACATGGAAAGTCAGTGGTCTGGCCCAGGGGCAGGATCCCCTTTCTCCCTTCCCCAGCTGAGCCACTAAGGTCACATGAGGTCACTGGCTAGCCTGGGACACAGGCTAAAGGAGGGGAAAGGGGAATGGGGGGGGGGCGGGGGCAGGACGGAAGTCAGAGAAAATAAGAGAAGGGGGAGAGGGATGGAAAGGTGGGAGCTGAAAGGGAAAAGAAGGTAAGAGAAAGGAGAGAGGAGGAGAAAAGAAAACCTGTGGGCTTGCCCTGTCACAGCTTGGCTCTGTCCAGCCACCCCCACCAATGCCTTTGTCTGCTCTGCCCAGGTAGAGCCCCGAGAGTGGGCAGATTTCGAAAAGCCCAGGCTGCCCAGGCCCCTCCTGCGCCCTCCCCTCAGCCACTCCCTTGCCTTGGGCACTGCCCTGGCAGCCTGAGGGCTTCCCTGCCTTTCAGAGCTTCTGGCTTCCTGTTCTCACTTGGAGGCTTTCCCAGGTGTGCCCGCACCTAATTTATTGTTTGCTTAATCAATATTCACCAAGTTCAGGCTAATTCTGAGGCTGGTGCCCAGGCCCCTGGGCTAATATTCCTAAAGAGCTGAGTGCTGACGCAGCACGTGTTGGGGCCGATTTCCTCTGAAGTCCAGTGGGGCAGCCCCCTCTCCGCGGTAGAGGGGCAATGAGGAAGCAGAGGGTGAGATAAATGTCTGCAGGGAGTTATCAGCCTTGATTGCAGGCTGCAACACAATGTCTCCAAGTCTTCGACCCTGCCAGTGACCTTCAGAAAGCCTTTCTCCAGGAGACAGGGAGCCCCAGCTCAGGAGCCTGGGGCCATAGGCCTCTGTTCTACTGCACAACATTTTAGGGGATGAGGGCCACATGCAGAACCTCTCTTGTCCCTCCGTCCTGCTGGGAGGGGCAACTACTTCAGCACGGGCTGGTGTTCGGCCCACCGAGTCCCTGCTGCCCTCCTGAGGGGCACTTCTCACTATCCTCCTACCCCTGGGGCAGCCCACGAGAGAGGAAGGAGCCAGTGTGGTGTAGCTGGAAGCGAAGAGAACCAGGATTAAGGAGGTTCTGCCTTGCCTCTGGCTGACAGAATGACCTTGAGCAATGCGTCCTGCCTTTCTGCAACAAGGGGAGAGCTTTGACTGTGTGATCTCCATGTTTCCGTCTCTGTCTAGCATTTGTTGTTTCTAAGTTACGCAGGGACCTCTGAGGAATCATGCTCTCTGGTGGCACGGAGAGTGGGAGTGAGCAGAAGACGAGGGAGGGAGGAGGAAGACGCTGTGCCCTGCACTCCAGAAGCTCCCCAGGCCTCCGGGGAGGGAGCCCCGCTGCTCTGGGAAAGGCACTTGAGCACACGCTGGGCAGCTGCTGCTGCAACTCACCACCCACATTCCACATTCAGAGACAAGACCCCAGCCTCTGGGGAGAAAGTCTCATCTCACCTTTTGTTCTCTGGGCTTAGCTGGGGCTTTTCCATCCATCTCAGCCCAGAAATAAACTTTACTCGGGCTTTCCTTTTTCTCCCTTTGAGATGCTGGTCGTCGGGCGTCTTCTAGTTTCTTCTCTGTAAACCTGGAGACTGAGGAGGCAGCATGGGGCTGGCGTTGGGAAGCAGCTGGGGTCCACTCCAGAGGATGGCGAGGCTCTGCCACTCGCCTCTCCACAACTTGCATTAAGTCACTTCGCCCTTGGCCTTGGCTTTTATTTAATGTACATGGCAGCCAGTCCCGTTCCCTTGTTGTTCTCACTGTCACTTGTTCCCGCAGAACTTTTCCTGGGGTGGTGACAGTAGTTTCAAAGAGAACACACTGAACTGCATCCTTCCACCTCTCATTACCCCTCCAGCGCAGGGTCCCCGACTTTTCAGGATGCTCCAGCTTAGCCAGCTCATTCAGGTCTCTCCTGGACAAGTGATGCAACAACCTGGGCAGGAGAGAAAATTCAGGAGAGGAATTCCCCTGCTGACTGGCAGGCAGCAGGTGCCTCCTGGCTGGCCTGGACCCTTCAACTCCCAAGGAAAAGCATTTTGGGACACTGAGTTCAGTTCAGCTGCTCGCCTGGTAGTTACTAATTCACTCCCTAGACAAAGCCCCACACAGCAAACGGGATGATCTCCATGGAAAGGAAACAGTGAGTGGGGCTTCTCCAGCTGGATGACACACTCAGAAAGTCCCCCAATATTCCCCTTTGGAAAATATTTCATGGGTGGGTTTTTTTCCTCATAAAAGATGTGATCTGTTTTCCTCTGTTGGTTTTAAACTGACCCGAACGTGGCTAGCACAGACCAAGTGAGACAGGATAGTGAGAACCTAGGGAAATTCCTTGGCAAGTGGGATAGGGAAGCTGAGACAGCTGAACTCAATGGCCAAGCAATTTACAGCCAGAGGCAGGTGGTCACCAGGGCCAAAGGGAAGCCCCCAAGTGCCTGGCAGGGGGCAAAACTGGGAAACAGGAACCTCATCCCCAGGGTAACCTTTCCTCCCCTGACCTCTCCTCCCTGGAGAAAACTAAGCCTCAGTCGTACTGCAGCTCCAGGCCCAGAAAAGCAGTAACACTGGTGGGTGACGCCGGGACCAACTGCAATGATTAAAGACCATGGCCCTAGAGGGCACACCTGGAGAACCGAGGAATGTGTTCCTGAAACCCTCCCCTTTGACCTCCCCTAAGATTCCACCTACGAGAGAGAGAGAGAGAGAGAGAGAGAGAGAGAGAGAGAGAGAGAGAGAACTCAAGACAAAGGACCCGGCATGGGCTCTCCCTCTGGGGAGCAGCCTGCGCCGTTTTCTTCCCCTTCTTCGTCTCCCACTCCTTTCTTCACAGGCACGTGTCTTCTAAACTCCAAGGCAGTGGCCCACTGGCAGTTCGCCCCAGGCTGATCCCCTGAACCCGTCCCCAAGACCCCCTTTTCTCTGCCTCCCCAGTGAGCTAAGGCAGCCCAGCCTAGGCGCCTTCTTTGCTAAGCCCTCCCTTGTTTTGCTGTCCCCAGCTTCAATAAATGGATCCTCTTCATCACCTGTTTGAAACCTTTCCTACATGAAGTCAGGACCCCACACACTACAGCTGGCCCTGGGCAGACCCACTCAGGGCCAGGCCCTGTCTGGTGACACAAACACTCAGCAACTAAGGGCTCCAGGGGATGGAGGTGCTGAAGACTGTAAGTAAAGAATCCACCGGGACCCCCGCAGACAACGTAGCAACCATGAACCAATTAGGAAGGACCCTCCTTCTTTAAGAAAAATAAGCTCAGTTGATATATTGCTGCACAATTGGAATAACCATAGTGGCAGCATGTATTCTCTATGCAGTGTCTCTTCCAGGCTGGAAGACAGGTTGGAGGTGAGACTTGAATCACTGAAAGCAAAACGGGAGGAAAAGAGGCAACTGCACGGGATGCCTGGGCTGGGCCAAGGCAGTCTTGTACAAGTGTGTGTGCCTATGACCTTGCACAGCAGTATGTGCTGCTGTCCAGGACCTGGTCAGGGGAGCCAGTCCTCGAGCTCAGTATCCTCTCAATCATCTACAGCCTCCCATACACGTTAGTTCACATCTGCAGCGTGAAGGGCACCCCCTCCGTGGGGCATGCTTGAGCAGTGCACAACCGCCGGAGCTTGCATGGTGGCCCTACCTTCAGAGGCTGTCCTAGACATGTTCCCCGTGTAGTTGGTAGAAAGGGTTAATGCCTGGCCAGATTCTCGCCTCCCAGCTCCTCAGGGAGCCGAGAGGATTTCGGTTGATTGATTGGTGGGTTGGTCCTATAGACTTTGGAGTCAGTTTCCCTCCAAGTTAGTATCCTAGCCCTAATTTTTTCTGAGAAAGTGATATGGGCAAGGTTACTTACCTTTTTTAAACTTTGTTTTCTTAATCTGTAAAATGAGAGATGATAACATGTACCTCATAAAGTTATTATGTTCATTAAGTGTGATAATTCATGTAACTCAAAGTGAACTGTAAATTCTCAGGGAACAGTAGGTGATAATAATAACAACTTAGCTCTCAGCAGCAGGGCGCAGGAGTCTTGTAATGATCAATCCCTAAAAAAAAAAAGTCCTTCTGAAGGTTTTCATCTATTCAGAAGTCTGCCACTTTCTTACATTTTCTTTTTCTTTCTTTTTTGCCACTTCATTTTGGCATTTGAAAGATTAAAAAGGAATAGTTTGGGACATGTCTGAATTGATTTTTGCGTTTTAAAGTAAATATCAAATTTTTATTTTACAAACAATGCAGTCATTTTACCGCCATGTAAGTGTGTCTTTTCCATTTTGTTTGCTTTTGGAGCCTTTGAAGACATTTTGGTTACAAAAGACACAAAGTGTAGTGGAGCCCAGTTAGTTGCAAATCACGGGTCCCGTGTTCAGGGCACTGTCCCAGAGCCCAGATGGTCCCCTCTCTGGAGTTTTGTGGGGATATCACGGTGTACTGGCTCCTTCTCTTGGGAGTGTAACTGACTTCTCTTGCCCAGCGCGAAGCCACAGGTGGCCTCTTTACATAGGTTCATGACACTGTGATCTTCTGATTTCAGGTCACAGACTCCAGGAAAAGGCTAAATAATACTTAGACCAAATGTCAGATTTCTGAAGAGCTTTACCCACTCCCCGTCCCCCATCCCAGTTTTAGCAAAGGATTTTATTTGCTAAATAGACACACAAGAGTAATAATCAGCAAACAGAAAACTAACCGGTGCAAAGAAAGCCATTGGTGCTGTAAAAAAATCCATATTGATCTCTTCCCTTTCCAAAACATGTTTTCTAATGAATAATTAAGAGCAATGTGTAGAGATGTTTTACGCATCCATGTGACCGGTAGTCAAGGCTCATACTCCTCCTTATGTGTCATTGTAGTTTTCTGCTTACTGGGCCCACACATGTGAGCTTTTCTCTCTCCCTGTTATTTGTGGGAGAGGCACAGCCCTACGCCAAAACTCTGGTCAGAATACTGAATGCTGAAGAAACATTGTTTAAAAACGCTTGGATTACTACTAGTCCTGTCAGTTCTCCCTCATTGATTTAGGAACTCATAGAAGAACGTAACTGTGAGAGTTGTCACTCCTCCAAATGGTAACAGAAGGAAATAATTGTATAGTACAAATAACCATTTTACACTAGTCCCCACTCCCCCCATCTGTGATTTCACTTTCCAAGTTTCAGTTACCTGTGGCCAACTGTGGTCTGAAAATATTAAATGGAAAAATTCCAGAAATAAACAATTCATACATTTTACATTGTGCACCATCCTGAGTAGTGCCATGAAATCTTGCGCGGCCCTGCTCCGTCCAGGTGGGACGTGAATCAGCCCCTGGTCCGGCATCTCCACGCTGTGGACACTGCTACTGATCAGTCGCTTAGGAGCTGCTATCTTGGTTATTAGATTGGCTGACAAGGTATCACAGTGCTTGGGTTCCAGTCACCCTTACAGGAGCCCAGTGCTGAGTCACAGTGCCTAGGTCATTCACCTCAGTGTCTCTCCTCACGTAGGTATTGTGTCATCTCACATTGTGACACAAGAAAGTGTCAGTACAGTACAAGAGGAGATTTTGAGGGGGAGAGAAAGCGAGAGAGATCACATTTACATAACTCATAGTATATCATTATAATTGTTCTATTTTATTATTGGTTATTGTTGTTAATCTCTTGCTGTGCCTAATTTATACATTATGCTTTATTATAACTATGAATGGATAGCAAAATACGACATAGAGTTTGATACTATCCATGGATTCAGGCACCTACTGGGGGTCTTGGAGTATAGTCCCTAGACATAACAGAAGGTCTCTGTATAGTGACATTTAGCAGGTTTTACGGCCTCCACCATCATGTGGCTGATAACAAAGACTGCCCTCCAGCAACATTAAGCCTCTCTGAACACTGAAACCATTCCACAGGCCGTCAGGAGAGGGCTGAGATGGTTTATGTTCACGTACACACTGTTAGTAAAAGTACAGAGTAAAGAATCCCAGGAGATCATTTCCTAGAACACATGTTGTCTGAGACCTTAACTCATCTCAACATGTTGGTATAATCGCCGTAGAAAAACTGATCCATGGCTCTTGGCATTAAATCCTGTGGAGTGATTTGAGTCTTGGGATTGAAATGAATATATTTCTTATTGATTGGGATTACCTGGTTACCATGCTATTTGGAATAGACATTATCCTCTGATAGTAAATCACTGGCTCTTGCAGGATGGAAGGAGCCCCAAATAATTAACTTGCCACCAAGAAGGCAGTTGGCCTCCCTAAGGAATGGTAATACGTGGGGAACCTGGTGTTCCTGTTTGCTGACAAGTTGGATGTTCATTAGCAACACCTCTAAACTCACCCTGGGTTAGTGGGAGCCTATGCTCTCCGTGGGAGCCCACGCACAGCCCCACCCCTCTGACCGTGGCTGCTTCCCTCAGTGTCCTTTGAGCCAGCACCACAGTGGCCAATGCCTGGAGTTGCTGACGTCAGATGGCCAAGTCATTCTTGTCTGCTTGGAAACCGAAT